CAGCAGACGATAGTTATCAGGTTCTGCTTTCGCCACAAGTTCACACTAAAACTGCTGTCGAAAATGTGGCAGTCTGTGGTACCCGTTATTGGACAATCTGTTTAATAGGTCTTCCGGTACTAAATTAAACACAACCTGGATACCCTCGGGTTAAGCAGAGCTGAATGCTACCAAGCGCGTCCCCGGGTTGTGGATAGGGGGATACCTTCACCGAAGAAGGTTAGCTGCGAATAAGTTGTGGCATACTGCAACAAATAAGCAGTCGCGAACAAACAGCGACGGCATTACCAGGGTGTGGTGGGTTCAGATTGGTTACCTGGTTCCTGTTTAAAAGCCGCATAAGCCCAGCGACGGTGTCGTGACAAAGGTCGATGTGACTGGCCTTTTAAAACTAAAATCATTGATCCCCTCACTCCCGAGGGGAGGGTTTACTTCTTGCTGCCTTCCAGTTCGCACCTGGTTGTGCAAAGGCTAGAGGTGCGCCCTCAAAATAAAAAACGCGGAGTGACACCAGGGACGTCTCTCGTACCAAACTTCCAAGGAACTCCATGATCTTGTTCTTAATCATGTCTGGAGCCGGCTTATCCTCTCCAAGGAGCCAGCCGCAGTAAAGTAAGTACCGTGTAGTAGTTATTGGTAGTGATGACAGTCTGATGCATTTGGTTCGATAAAATTTGAAAATTTTCAACTCATCCAATGACGGCTTTTTAGTGTGATTTGGGAACTTAAATCTTGCTACCCAGATTGCTTTCGCTCCGGACACAACAGTTCACGGAGCACAGATCATCATTGTCGGACTTGGGTTTGCTTTGGTAACTTTCTCTTGTCAAACTCCGTTCCAGTCGATTTTGCAGAAATGAGCGAGATTGTGTGATGGAAACATACTGTTTGGTTCGGAAAGAATCACCGTCGAAGACTCGATGTCCCTCAGGAATCGATGTAGCTGATGTGAATGTTCCTATTTCGAACCACTCTTTAGTTTTACTCAATATAAGGACCATTGAAACACAAAGCCAAATCATATCGCGTACAAATCAATCCAATAATGTAGCTTTATCAAACCGATAAATGAACCCAGAGTTATATGAGACTGCAAATTAGTAGTAATTAATAACGGGTTTTTAGTTTATACAACCGCTAGCCATGTGGTTTTGTTTGTTGCACGTTGGCAGACCATTTGGGGGAAGGAGTGGAGAGAATAACTGGAAAGCTGGAAGTGGAGTGAAGGTATAGATTAAGAAATCAGGCAGACTGAGGTTGTAAAGAAATTGAGTAAACGCACGAGCGCTACTGTTTATGACACTTAGCCACATCACTCAGGGTCGCCAGAGATCGATTTGTATGAACAAAAGGTTCACGTTTCAGTCCAAGATTACACTTCCCATCGAGAAGGAAACAACCATTATTACCATATTTACTATTCAAAAGTTGCTGAGAAATTCAACAGAAATCCGAAGCCGATTTGTGAGGACTCAAGCAAGATAAAGAACAGTTGAGTTTTCGCGGATGTCAATACGGGAAAGTAAGGAACGATATGCAGAACGTACCGAGGTTTGCGAGTAACATTTCAGCTGGAAGATTTTCATGTCAGCTGATTTGAACCGGTTTATACCGTTCCATTATGTCTGTGGATTCGCGTGGTCTGAGATAAGCACATTGTTTTAATTAGTCGTTATTCATCGTATGCATTTTGAGATGTTCATCCGTTATCTGCGCGCTTGTTTGTTAATGAACGGTTGGGTGTCCACAACCTATAAACTATCCGCGTCTCGGATTTCAATGTCACCCACATTCGTCAGATTCCAGATCTGGACTGAGTGTTCGGAAAGAAACAACCGATATCAACACTGCAACTTCGGGATTCTACTTCAAGCAAAGGATCGACCACCCGACATCAGTCATCACCGCACAGCGAGATACAATGAAGAGAACTTCGCTGATCGCCACCGAGCTCGCAATGTACACGAAGGAAGTGAGGGTGTTTAGGTCGATCTAATTGGAGTGAGACAAAGAATCCATTTGTTCAACGCAAAGTACACACCTTTTCTGGCATTCTAACCTGATAACAAGTGACGAGAACGCTGCTGTTGTCGGTTTACTGGCATATCCTTCGGGGTTTCCGATCAGCCAGCTATGGAATCTTCCTGACACTAACCTGGAAGACGAGACACCTATCCAACCTAATCGCTCCGTGTATTTCTTTAAGCTTTGTTTCCACGTCATCTGTTGACATCACGTGATTTCCTCCTATCTGGAGCTGCAACTTCAAACAAGGTGCGGAGCAGTACACGACATCTGGGTATGTGCAATACACGCCCTTCCCAGTAAAGCCCGTTACGGTGAATTCGATATGATAACGAATTCTCCACGAAATTATTATTAAATACTCCACGGTTTACCTCGGTATAGCTCACACGTACGCACCATCTAACCCGAGCCAAACTACGCGAGAGAAGATAGTCGAAAACTATCTTGACGATGAGTATAGTCCACGTGCAAATAACGGTCTCGTAATTATGGTACTTCTTTCAGTCAATACTATTGATCGGAAACAGTGATCAACAGGACGTGATGGATATAGATATGTAGCCACGGGAAGCGCTATATCGTCATCCATCCATTCGAGAGACGGTCGTCTATGCTCAGTACCCGCCTTCCCTCACATGACTCTGATACCAGACAATGGTGAGAACCGCCCAGGGTTTTAAACTCCTAGAGGCCATGTCTCAAAGTTGTAAAATATCCTTTCAAACAGGAAAGTATCGTAGGGTCACTATAGATGTTCAAGACTGACAAGCGTCAGTTTGGTTGACTTTCTGTTTGTTACGCTCGATGTTGCCTCGTCTCCTACGCGATTACCAGGTACTGTTTTGTTCCCAAGGTCAAAATATCCGTGGTGCACATCGAAATTAATAGTGATGGTTGCTGGGACAGAGCCTTGTTAGTGTTTTAGGAGCACTTCTTATTCGGATGGATCAAAGCGCTTGCAACACTGGGCTATCCCAATTGCTAAGGGCAGTTTCACTGAGCAAGGTGATATGACTGACAAATACTAAGTCGACGAGTCAATTCCCCAGAGAAAAGCGAATTTCCCTGGAAGTTGTCACCAAAGAATCTTATTAGAAAGGACGAATGATGGTAAAAGATGACCATATACTGTAACCGGGGCCGTCTTTTCGAAGAGCTCTTTGAAAATGGAAACATACCGTTCGAGTGCCCGTTCTTTGTCATGAAATCGGAGTCTGCAGAGAGCGGGAGTGGATTTGCGAAATAAGCGTGCAACAGATGCCATTTCAAGCCAATAAGGAGCTAATCAGTTTTGTCCGGTTCTGAGGGAAACACAACAAAATGTGATGATGACTTGAACGCGCGAAATTCGAGTGTGCAAAGAACAGCATATCGGAACGGCAGAAATCAAACACTCCCTTTGGAAGGGCATCACTTGACAATAGCTGATTAGCACGAGTGTACCAACCTGCACATATCAGCACGGTATTAGCCAGGGAAGCTTTACGTTAAAGGCTACGTAATCCATGAGCGCATCTGCACCGCAAACTGTCGAGGGGGACTCAATACAGACAAAATGCTATTTGTCCGAGATACAGAGTTTTCACACGCGCAAACAACTAGAATTTGGTTATGTAGTATAGTTTCGTTCATAAGGATTAACAAGAGGCTGAAATCCACTTGACCAGATGTGCCTGCCCTGTAGTAATAAGGCCTCACTTATTTTATCCGGATACACAGTAGCACAATCGACTTCTAGGGGAGCATTCAATAACAGGGCTGTTTGGGGATAGAAAGACAGGTGACGGGGTGGGGGTAGAATTAAAAACAATACATGTATAACGACGCCATGATGACCTAGACCGCATGATCACAAATAAATTATCAACACGGTAAAGCTGTTTTATAACCTCAACAAACCGATAGCCTAACAACACAACAATCTGGTACTACGTCAAAGAGCAGAACGGACGAGTGTACTTGGCGCGTAAACGTAAGGAGAAAAAACCCACATGTATGAGAGGTCTTTGGTTATACTCTTATCCACCGAACTCATGTCAGTCTAAATCGCGTGTTCCTCGCCTCCATAATCAATTTCAGACAAGAATGAAGTGACGAAATTGGCTGCTCCGTTTTCAGTTTGTTTTTACAACCTTTAACAATGTGCACTTTCGTGCGCCCGCTGTGGTTGCTGTTTCGTGATTACCAATCTGGAATAAGGAGTATTAAGGAGGAGATTGGAATGTTCCAATTATTGTAAGAGTAAAAATAGTGTTTATGAAGATAAGAGTTGCAAGGACATTGAATAGATGCACGAGTGTCACTGTTTCCGACACTCAGTCATATCACCTAGTATTACTAAGCAATGATTACAATGACCCCGATGTTCCCAAGCCTTGCTTTCCCTTGTTTCACTCTGCTTGAAATAATGCACATGGATAGTGTTTCCCTCGAGAACTCCATGATTCGTGATTCTGCAGCTTTTTCAAACCCAAGAGGCCGTGGTTTCGGAACCTATTCATAGCTTAGAGTTACACTATGCCAAAGCTATGGAGAATGCGTCAAATTTCAAAGTAACCAATCTTACATAATCCGCTTTAACATTATTTTGTCACAGAAGAAAACAATTTACAAACAGAAAAAAACTTTCTTGATAAGGAATGTGGAAAATTCTGATAACGGTACAATGGTTACAAATTAGATGATAATAATTCAAAATCAATGGAGATCTCGTCATATTGATGGTATTTTGATGTCTTGGTTCCGAAATCGAGAGACAGAAGTGCACATCAAAACAGTTCGCAAAGCAGAGTGCGAGAAATGAGTGAGCGTCAGTGAATGAATGTGCACAGCTGAACCGAGAAGACAATAATCCGGTGGGCGCCTGGGTGCAGGATCAGGCATCCACTGATTAAATGTGAAATAATGACCAGGTGAGTTACGTGCCGCGTGGCCTCCCAATTCAGCAGCCTGGCAGAGACAGACGGTGAACACTAATCCCGTTTGGTCAACTGATTGAACCGTCTCTGCAGTTCATCGAAATCCTGATCCTCGGATTCGGAATGCGACTCGGGCTCCTCCGAGGCCGGTGGGAAGGGGTTCACGAACCCCGGATTCCCATTCGGAATAGGGAGTTTGGTAGCGTCCAGTGGAGCGGTCGGATTAGCATCGGGGTTCTGAGACATGGTTGCATCGTACGATGGAGGCTTTGAATCGATGCCTAAATCGCAACGCAAAGGAACGTGATGAGAACAGGTTAACAAAATTGGGAGTTACATTAGTCGACCAACTTTAAAAAGCAGATTCACTGTTCAGCAGCAATGAGCACGGAATCCATTAAAACCAAGGATACCAAAGGTAGTAGCCTTTGTGCCATCTAGTACTGTTTGTTATTACATAACTCAACCTGATGAGCAGTCAAAGAGATTAACCTCAAGGTGGTGAGGACTTCTGGCTTGGCTACGGGAACCGGAGAGCCATGAGCCGTGGAATTTAAATGAGCAAACCATATAGGAGGACCAAATAAATAGCAGTTCTACAAAAGAATCAAACAACTGAAACAATTCCGCGCAAATTTAAAAATGCAATAAAATCTGATCCTCATCTGTTAGCAAAAGTCAAAATCCTACAAGGAAGCGATGGACTGGCTCGTGCAAGTTGAAATCCTACCACCGTAGCCTCACCGTTTGGCTCCTGTAAGTCCCCAAGCGGCATCTGATTGGCTGCAGAATCTCCATCCTTGGAAATCAACTGCATTTTTCCTTTTATACGTTTATTTTCTGTTGAATAACAGTTCAGTTTCATGAACCAAATGATCCACAGGGATTTTCGGGAATAGAATCAGATTTCTTTCAGGTTTCTATTTACATCTCTTCTTACTAATTAACTGACTGCACGAGAAATTTTCAAAAAGAGAAGCAGTTATTCGAAGGGCTGCCATATGAGACAGATTAGGCGGTATTCGGATTCGAACTCAACCTTATTAACGATTCAATAGTGATCCATCAGCCGTACAGCATCGTCTAGCCCCATTACCTGCATCGTTAATTACAATATGCAAGGTATCACTGTTCGGATAAATGGGTGGCCAATAGTTTGGTTTACTCGGTCTAACTGGAAAACCATGCCGAGGAGATATCGTGGAGTAAAAGGCAATGGCCGTACTAATAATGGGCTAAATTTGCAAGAGAGAG